ATGACAAACAAAATCTGAGAAGTTAGGGAGATCAACACGTTGAAACGTCAAAAAATACAGAACAATAAACAAGCTAAACGTGATGATGCCACTTAAAGAAAGAGAATAGAGTAGATTATATCTGCAAAAAAAATATATTTTATTTACATGTTCGATTTTTACGCACATTTCAGATAGTACACTGGTTTGATAAAATGCATTTGAAAAATGTATGATTCTGCTTTGGTTAACAGTCTCAATAGAAATTAAAAAGCCATAGGTTTCCATTTTTGAGAAGATCGAAGTATTGAAAAATTTTGTAATAAATGTTTTCTAAATAAAAATAATAGCATTAGCAATTAGCAGAAGCAACCCTAAGCAATATGGCTTACGACAGTAGCACGTAAATAAGGAATGTAGCCCTATCATTCAGATACGTACCAGACGTCTTCTTAATAATTTGTTCAAAGTTTGTGACGTCTGTGAAGGAGACTGGATCTTCAAATGATAAACCTGATGAAGATAACGAAGATTCAGACAAATCAACTTCTTTCCGCAGCAACTGGGCTTCATGAAATTTTGTATTTTGGAGTTGATCCAGTGGACACTGATGTGGTTTAGTGTATGACATGAGAGAGGACTAAAAAATAGTGAAATGGATGATAATTCATCAAAAATAAATGTGAACTTTTAACTAACAGCATTTTAAAGTGTAGGATGCATCGAACAGGAGCAATATATCACATTTTTGGATAAATATTGGCCCGTAAAAGTATATGCTAGCATCAACTTCATAACATTCCCCACTCTCAATGGTAAAAACAAAATAACAACGTCTAAGCAAAACAAAACGTGGTAGACATTGACGAAACACTTGTGGAAAGTGTTTAAATTATTCACTTTTTGAAATTAGACAATTCTCAAATAGAAAAAATAATGAGGCGAAATGACTAAAAAACAACACTAGTAATGAAAGCTACATATCTACTTGGATATGACTAACTAGTAGTAAGTCAGTAATTAAGATCCAGTTCATTACATGCATATTTACGGGCTTAAGGTTAAACTTCCGGGTTATAAGAGAACATGACGTGCGAAGATAACAGTGGGCAACAGTTAATGGGAAGATAGAGGCGATTATTAGAGCATACATGATTCAAAAAATTACTAAACACAGGAAAATTGGTAAGCTATGTTCAGAAGTAAAATCATAATGGACAGTGACGGACAATGTTCCGTCAAAAGTACTAAAAAATGAGTATATACTGAACATAAAGGAAAAAAATAATAAAGCCTATGAAGAATGCAATGACCAGCTATATAATTTGATAATGAAACATGGACACAATGTTCGCTGGCAATGTTTGGGTGCAAAGACCACATTCAAAGGGCCCAAATGAATGCGAGGAAAGATATTGGTTTGACCCTACATGCCAACGAATGAAAAAAACATGCCAAATAGTATTAAAGCATGCCAAATCAAAATGAATATAAATAGAGACTGAGTGAAAGTGTTGTGACATTAGAAAAAAAGTATTATAACAAAACACTTTAGTAGTTTTTTACAACAACACATACTTTAAAGCCTATAAAACACAGCATTATTCTATGAATTTTTATCATAGTTAAAGATATAAAGCAAGTAGAAAACTAGACGGAAAGAACATCGCAACACACATTAGATCCAAACTCTAGGATTTCGGCTGTTTAATTACATTAAGCATTAGTTAGAAATTAAAACAAACAAACTCAAGGTTATTCGATCTGTCATGGGATAAACCAAATCAATAAATTAACCTATTTCTGGTAAAAAACGTGAACAGTTTAAAAATGAGCAAATTTTTTTAATTCAACAAAATGCGCATGAGAGCTTATTTGAAACGACGTATATATACTTTTGCCAAGTCCAGCGAATTCCATAACGCTAAATATATGATCCACAGAATTTATGGTAGACTCGGGGGTGCTGCGCCAACACCGGTTTTTTAGAAAACTAATTTAAGAAAGTTATTGATATTTTATAAGCCATTTGCACAAAATTAATTACGTGACAATTAATGATATTTCGATCAAATTGCTAATATTAGGAGGCGTCAAAAATAATAGACTTTACAAAATGGAGTGAGTCTAAAATTGTCAATAAAAGTTTTCTCTTGCTGTTTTTGTGTTAGAATCATAATAGTTTCCGATCATCTAAAACGCAATCGTGGATGCTGCGCATTCGATAAAATTATCCCGATTACAATGAGGAACCAAATGCAGACCATGACATCGTTTATTACTCAGCCAAACCTGTATTAGGATCATCGCTGGCACTTCATGCCAAATCAAACGTCACTCGAGTAAATATGAGGGAAAAAATTTATTGGGTTTCAGCGTTAATGGTCATCAGGACTTTTAAAAAATATTCTGGATATTTTCCAGAGTACTTGGTGAGCTGCAAAGGAACTCGGTTAGCAAACTTAAGCTAGCAGAATTACCTAGTGTGTGTGTCAGCGTAGATCGTAGGCCTTGATGTGACTCTGAAACCGCACCGAGGGCCACAACAAACGGTGACCCCGCTATTGAATACTGTCAATCTTCTAAAACTTTAAATTTGGCATTTTGTAGACGCATCAAAAACCACTCTGATTAAATTTACTCGAGTCATTATCGGATATTTGCTAAGCTTAACTTGGCTCTCCATTCGCTCCTGCATGAACTTACTTTACGTAGCTGTTTGTTCGCATGTCGAAATCAACCGATCCTGCATAAACTGACGACTTGTTACCTTGCTACTACTGCATAAATGATGTTGGTCTACGCATGATCTCTGAATCTCATTTTCGTTGATTAGGCTGTGTCAACGAAGACTATCAACCCTGGTGTGGTTCACAAACGGCACCGGGGCCGCAACAACCATATTAGAAGAGGTCATCGACGCGGTCGGCAAAATATCCCAGGTTAGGTAAATATTACAGTGTTACTCTAAACCCATTTTGTGATTTTTCGCATCTAGGTTTTCAACTTTCTTTACATGGCTATCTACGCCCAAAATTATCGAAGTACTATTCATTGGGGATTAAATGGTAGCGGTTGAAGGGATCTAGAATTGTATCAACCATGAGGGTCACGTTTTTAATACAAATGTTGAGAAACGAACATCGCGAAATTGCAAAAGGTAATATTTGATCAGCAACCAAGTAAAGTCAAATATTATCCAAATAGACGAATTACAAAAATTGGTAACCTGTTTGCTAATGTCCTTCCAAAAAAACTAGTTACTTTCAAAACGGAATGAACACATTTTGCGCAAACATTGAACTTAAGATAGCCTTGAATCGAAAATGCAATGATAGTTTTTTTAACAGATTGTATACTAAGGGAAAGTGGAAACTACAAAAGGAACATAGTTCTTATGACGACCACGGCCAAATACTTGAAATTAAGTTACCACGGCGACAGTAGTAAGTCTACAAACTATAATGTCGTGTCCTGTTATTAGATGGAGGCGATTACTTTTATGTGACTAGATTAAGTCACCCTGTAGAGCCGTAAGACAGTCACAGTAAGAATCGAAAAATTCACTTTTTGAAAGAATTTCCCGTACGTAAGTTTATATTTAACCTAGCAAAAGTGCAAATCACATGTTGTAGAGGAAAAGGGCAGCAACAACAGTTGACGCAGAAATTAGAAAACTTGTTTTGACAACTAGATTGAATATGAGGATTGAAAGGATTGTCGTGACTACCATGGCGGAGGATATTATAAACAGACGAAGGATGTTATTGGCGTACTTCATTACGAAGCCCATGAATATACCGCTAATTGCCTGTGTTACCACTAAGATCCATGTGTAGACGGAAAATCCGAGGAATATATTAAAGGTACCTAAAAATGAAAAAAAACAATGAATAAAAGTTCTCTGGATTATAAACGAAACGATTTTAAAATTAATCGAGAGATTTTGAATACAACAGCCTGATTGCTTGCATTAAAACTGCAATTGTTCAGAGCATCCCATTACTTCGACAAAAGTAAACAAAGAACCACCCGCTACTTGGTGTTTCGCTCAAAAAAAACCAAATCGATCACTGATCTGCCGATCCGCGCTGTTTGCTCTTATTGATACTTGTCAAAACCATACAGTCTACTCGTCAAGCTGTTAAAACCCGAGAACGCCACAATGTCGATTCTTATCAGCACGACTAATTGCCACAGCTGTACAATGTTTGTGCAGTCAGACAAACAGTACTGTGCATTAGGCATTTATTAAACACTGTAAAAATTGCGATTTACATGGCATTTAGTCGCTGATCTAATTACACCTACCCCTTATATTTTTATGAAGGCTTAAAGTTAAAACTATTTCACAATATATTATTTAGTATATAAACATGTTTGAAAACTTGCATTTTGGACTCGGACGCAGCAAGACCACAAACTTAAAGGTTACGTATTTTTTTCTACTAAATAGTCACAAAAGATTAGTTGACTAAACCGACAAAAGCTGGTGACATTCAATTCGGAGTTAAATGACTTACAAAAATACACAGCTAGTTAGAAATTAATAGCTGAGGGTGAACCCATTGGCTGCTTTGAAACTCACCCTTGTTGAGACCCTCCTGAAAGACGTACAGTAAGCCGTTGACCACTATTCCAAAGACGTAAAGAGTTGCATTTTGAACATTCAGACTCATCTACAACGCACGAAATACCCGATCTTGTCGTTTTGGTATGACCAAAACCATTAAGTGGTGTAAAAAAGTGGTGAGTATTAGCTTTTGGCTAAAGAATAATGATGTCAAAATTTAGATGATCAGGTACCGGAAGGCAAGACATCATCCAAAATGCACACGCAAACCATTCGCCTTTAACCAGAAGTCATAAAATTCATTTGCTCATATCAAAAATTTGAGAAAAGTTTTCAACCGGCCATCAGAAGTGAGCCCTGGTGCCTAGGTTCTAAAATGATCAATTTAGCTAGCTAACTGCATATAGCGAGGAATGCGAGTGAGTTGGCAGGATTTTACCAAGAGTGCGCAAGTGCGACTTCGCGATGTCAAACCGACAACATGACTGGTACTGACAATGACAAAAGGGTTTAACAAAGCTAAGAACTTTGCCCTAGTAGAACACCAATACTGAGCGCTTCAAGTCCTTGGGTTAGGAAGCGGTTAGACAGTGTTGATAAACTTACGTTGACGCGTCTTTTCAGAACGTATTCCGTATAAACACTGGCAAGACCAGAGACAGTGCAATAAATGCTAATCATAAAGATTCCTTTGAGAGTTATGTGGAGTACACTTGACGAAGTATTTGCGTTTGAATCGAAATTTGTCAGTCTACAGAGAATAAAACACTGTACGGTACAATAATTGGTTACAAAGGATGGTGTGGGTGACCAGCAGATCAATTCAGTGATTTCTCACATCTACGTGGATGCCCAATTCTCCTAACAATTAATATCTAGTTGTACGACTTGAATATTTTGCAGGACTGTCGTTCTTGGAGGCTGGCTGGATGCACCTTCAAAACAAGCATAAACGCAATTTGTAAGTTGAGACCCATCCGACGATGATGCTGTGGAGAGTGCTGACGCAGACATGGTCGACAACTAAATGAACATAGAGTCCAGAAGCCACTTCTACGCATGGGAAAATTAGTAGGCTGCAGTCAGGAGTATAATCCACAAATGAACTCCACAAATGACGACCACAGAACTGAAATTCCGAATGCGATATCTTTGCCTTACAGTTGTTGTCTTTAGAATAAGAACCTCATGATTTTCAAGCTCCATGCAGTCATTATAAAGCGCTTTAGTTTGTCTAGTAAAAGGGAAAACTTATGTGACAATCCAGAGACTATTAACTACGACCTACTACTGAACTTGTGTTTAAGGATTCGTACACCTTTCCTATTGTGCACCTTACTTTATACGAAAAAGCTAAGACGGATGGGAGTTGGATTTTACCATATAATAGATTTCGCAGTAAGGGCATCGGAATATCTGAAAGCTGGTATGTTGCAAATGATGGCTTTTGCTTTTCGAAACCATTACTAACTCTACACACCTACACACAAACACACCATAAATCCTCTATTTCGTCCTCATTTATGCCAGGTTTCATTGGAATTACGGAATCCTCAGTTTTCGTGAAATGTAAAACTGACAGGATAATGAACACAGTTTCGTACCTGACGTTTATACCACCAAGCGTAGCATGGAGCCTTGCAAAGGTATGAAAACATGTGTGCTGTTTAATAGAGCCTGTTCTATAGATAACCTAAAGCGCTAAAGTGTCCTCGCAGTTTGATGCACGTAATTCAGCAAAGCTGCAAACTACAACCAAAGGCTATCGACTTTTGACCAATCTTGAAACCAGAGATGCTGTTAGAATTAACGTCATCACTACTTTAAAACTCGAGATTGCCTAACCTGAACAAAAAGCTCGATAAGCTAATACTGCTAACCACAACGCTATGCTAGTAAGGCGCAGCTTCTGCACCGAGGCGATTGACAGGAAACTCATTGTCAGAGTGAATCGTGTTTAGTCAACCCCTTAATCCGGCCGCTCCACCTCCTACACGGGGTTCCCCTTGTCGCACCATGCCGCCAGCCGCGCGGATCCTCAACACTACCCTCAGTAGCACGAATATTTACCTTGGAGCATTCCCACACCTAGGTCTCGGTGTTACCGCATGTATGACTCACACATCTGAGGTATAAATACGCGCAAACCCCACACACGATACCAGTTTTGGCTGAGATCCGAAGTAAACGGTTCTGTCCCGTCATTTTCGATCTTTTCCTTCATCGAGGGTATCAGGGAAACGTAATCGAGCTAGGGTTCATTCCGTCGCCCCGGCGTGGTTCAAGACCACATGCTGGGGCCCACAACAGTACACTATTGTCACCGTGCCACTGTGTCGATTTCAATAAAAGCCAGTTCTATTCAACCATGACAAGGTCAGACGTCTTGTAATTGCACACGTAGATGTGTTGAACTTTGTATTGCTTGTTTTAGTGCTCTCGAAGCCGTTGGATGATACCTGATTCTTTGAAGAATTCAATCATGCAATTGCCAAATTTAGACATTTCAAAAACTAGGTGGATTTGTGTTCTACTGGAAACTAGTCGGAATTTCTCGATTGATGAAGAATAACTGTCATGGCCTGAAGAAAGACATTGCTCTTAATGATACACTCAACCTTAAACAATTTTGCTCATTGTTTTAAAAAAGTACCCAAATCTTACTAAAACTGGTTTAATATGCTTCGATGCAATAAAATAACGCGCATGTGTTAGCTAAAAATTTAATATCACATCTTGTTTGGTGCTATATATTCATACTTTAAATCTAAACTGTCGCATGATGCTGATATACCGGGTACCAACTCTAGATGGCCGCACATTTCTCGTCCATGCTTCGAGGATAATCAGTGTAAGTTCACATCAAGTGTGTACCGACTTGGTGATAAGTATTTCAATAAAAACTATCAAACAATGGCAGCATACCCATTTATGATACCCGCAACTAACAGCAGGATTAAGGCGACCCACTGGCGAGGGGTAATTGGTCTAAAATAGAAAGATTACAACCAGAGTGAAATGATCATGTACAAGTTCAGGTCTTCACTTATCAACTGCATGTACTTTCTGAGATACAAAAATTAAAAGATAAAACGACGTTAAGGGAAATGCAAAAAAAACGTTTGTGATTACGACTGATGTTGTTGTGAAATTAAGCAGGTTGTGACCTCAAAACGATTACATGCGTAGGTATCAAAATTAATAATTATAAAGCAGAATCGACGGCTATTGTCAACGCAGAATAACAGTTATCAAGTCACGATTGGAATAGGTAAGAAAAAAAAATAATATTAGCAAAACTGACACTTTGGAAGGGAGATGGAAGACGACGGGTAACGGCTCAGTTTAGTTGCATTTCCAGTGAAACAAATGTTTATACGGGCCCGTTCGAGGATAACCCCGATCCATACTATTTCCTCAATCCTTATACTGGCATGAATCTTCTTGATTCACGTCCATAAACTCTGTCACCGCATTCTTCGACACACGGTCCCCTTTTCACAGCGCGCCCGTCAGTCATGCTCCCACATCCTTGTGCCTGTACCTCCCTTCTACTCATTCCATTCACCTAGTCTTTCAGAAACTTAGACGTTTACCCAGATCGTATCGAACATCCTCACGACTTTGAACAAACACACACACACACACACAGCGCAACTAATTTGAGACATCTAATAAACGTTTGTCTCCGCCATCTCTGGTCTACTTAGCCTTCTCGAGTATCTTTGTAGACTAATTGCGTCAATACAAAGCGACGATTCCGGTGCGGTTAGCGACTACACGCAGGGCCTTCAATAGCGCAAACGCAATGCGTCAAATACGCAAATGCAAGTCACAGTAATTGGGAAATGGGGGAAGTTTCCCACTACAATACACCAAAACAAATTCCAAACACATGGAGCAATGAAAAACACATTTCAAGTGGAATGCTTGTTTGTGCACATCACACACAGACATGGATATTTAAGCATTAACATTTTAGCGGGCCCCAGGGCGGCTTTGGAAACCACACCAGGGCCGACAATGTGCGTTGACACGGCCCGACCGAAAGAAGGAGTCAAAAATGCAGGTAACGAGTCAGTTAATTCATTAAAGCGGAACGAGGTGTGCGTACAAGTGAGCAAGTTAGCTTATGCAGGTTCAGCTAAACACCGATCTCTGAACGAACACAGTTGCGCGAGGCGCATTCACGCAAATCAACTGAATCATGTTCGTGCACGCTTGTTACTAGCGTTAGCTCACGAGTGCTGTTTGCCTGCTGCTCGCCACAGCATTCTGTAGAAGAAACTTAGATCTTGATTGACTTTGACATCCTGTTGTGGAAGCCAGCATTCCCTAAGACGGTCCTCTGCTAAGTAGGATTCCTCACTATTTACACAACTCCCCCTGATCAGGCCGCTTCAGTTGGTCACCCTACCTATGGCACCCACACTGACGGCACCATCTACATTAGTCTCTCATGATTAATCCGATCAAGGCTACTCGCGGATGAAATAAGCCGTACATTTTGACACGTCACCAGACCCTAAGCTTAGACAGTAAAAGATCTCTGCGCAATGTAATGTTTTCGTCCTGTGCTGGAAAAGTGGGGGGTGTCCTAGACGGGGGATTTGGGTATTGGTTCTCCGAGAGCATGGTCTTGGATACGGGAAAAAACGTAACATGCCTTCAACACAAAAGTCCAGCAATCATAACTACAACTTTGGCCTTTTGTCGAAAAATTTCATTTTTAATGACCTTTTATGTCTAGATTTCCAAATTCAAATTGCGACCAAAATTTGCGATAAAAAAGACGAATTTCCTGCAGCTAGGAAACCGTTTTTATGATGTATTTATTGTTAAACAGATGAAAACTTATTGCTTCCCAGATATATAATTATAGATATTTGTTTAAATTGTCAATAAACCGATCAGGTAACACTGAATTTGGAACGCGACTTTAAATGTTCTCAAAAATAATTAGAAATACGTTTATTTTCTAATAATCTCGATGTTATGACTCTCATAATTGGTCATCACTACATAAAAATGTATGATTAGTAAAAAATAAAAAGGTGAATATTTGATAACTATTGTCACAAGAGAGATGCAAACCTTTGTATAATGAGCCGAAACAGAATAGCCGTGCTGAGGACCTTGAAGTTTCCGAGCACCTACAACAAGAGGAAGAGTGCTTTTATGACAAAACAATCAGCACTACAAGTTAGAGCAGATGGCTCGTGGGGATTGCCTATGGTATCCCTGACCATGTTGATTGGTTGACAGGTACTCACACTAAACCGAAGCATGTAGTTCAGGGGGAAATTTAATGTTTACTTTGTTCAGCGAAATTGGCTGCAGTAATTGGAAAATGTCTCGATTGATACAAGTCAAAAGTAATAGAATCTCAGCAGTTTGAATTCATGGAAAACTATGAGTGGCTTTTACCAAGCGGCGAGGTTCATTGATGTTCCCTAACATGCATTCCGTTCGAGTTGACCGAAACCTCCAAATTGCCGTAATTTTACTGTCACGAAAGTAGGGGATGAAAGAAAATTACTCGTACATAACACGGCCAAACAAAATACACGAGAAATGGAACAAAATCGGGTAGCTTGTCAATATCTCCTTTGACATCGAACTCTCTTATGCCCGAGAAATGGTAAATGCAGCTTACCTGGTATGTAGCTGGATCCATCTCCATTTGTATGGCGATGCCGAGGTTGTTTGTTATGGTGTATAAAATAGCAGGAATAGCAAAGGGCAGAACAACGAGCTTGATGTCCATTGTGCTTGAGTGAGGGGCGCTTTCGGATGCACCGAACTCCCGGCGCAGGCGATTGCCCAAGCAATCGAAGTAAGGGCCGCTAACGTCACTTTGTTTTTGCTCTCGTCTAATTTCTATGAGAAACATCCCGATAGATAGAAGAAGCTTTAAAAGTTACAAAAAAATAACAGACAGATTTTTCCAACAGGTTTCAGATGGTTAGGTTGTTTTCGCACATTTCATTAACACCACCAAATGGAAAAATTCGCCCTAAATATAAGCTAGAGAAGACATCTCGTCAATTAGAATACCTACTTGGTTGTCCATTGTTAGAGTTCAGCTTTATCGCTCATTTAGGAGGAAACTGAGGTCATGAAAAGGACAGGCATTAGGTTACGAAACTCCGTTGTATCTGAGTATTACCACTTACACTGGCGGCGGAGAGAAAGCAAGATGCAGGAATCACGGAACCCGCATCCACACATCAGCTTTGAAGCACACATCCATCAAAGAATGACCCCAAAACCCAGTCTAATAAATCCAGTGTCGCATTTAATCTGCAGCCATCTGCGGCTTCTACATAAGTCAGTTTATTTAGTAAATTTATTGCCGCGGCACTCGTATCTTTGAGACTTAGTTTAATCCTAGTGATTCTCTTATGACCTACTTTAGGCACTCTCATCGACCAGTGACTATTGGGGAAAGTTAGGTAGTACAATATAACAATTTAAATCGTGGCCACTTGAAAGACTCATTTAAGTATTTTTAATGAAAGTTTTTAATTCATTAAAAGATTCGCTTAACCGAAAGCAATGACGAGGATGAGAAGTGCAAGGTAATCTCAAAGGTCAAATAAATGCATTTTGTCAAAGAGTCTACCTATTTACTACCTGTATAATTGAATTATTAGTGAAATAATTACCTGAAATTAAAAAGGCTGCCTAGAGCAAAATCGACGTCCTCATCCGAGTAGAAACCCATTTTTATAATTTAAATCCTCCTCAAGTTTAAATGTTTTGATACTCTATTCCAAATCAGATTTGAGCAAATGAACTTCACTGAAGATTAAGAAATTATATTAAACAAAACTGTTAAGATGACGCTCAGCGAATGAACAGTGAACTCACACTGCTGGACAAAGTGTCAGAAAACATTACTAAGTATTAGAACGTTCAGATATTCTTTTGAAGAACATGAAACAAAGGCCAATCAATCTTGAGAATTTGACATACTTCACTAGCCGCTTTAAAAACCCAAACGGATAAATTTGTTTAGATTTGTAGCATTATTTGCCCAAGTTGGCGTCAAATTTGTGAGAATAAAAGTAACTCTGAGCACACTTGAGTAGAAGAACTTACCTTTAGGATCTCAATGGCCAATACCACGGCGGAGTAACTGAAGGGGACGTGGCCATCTACTTCACACAGGTGAATCAATATCGTGTAAGACGAATAAAGCAAGACACTAAAACATAATGGAGAAAATTAATCACTTAAGGTCACTCTCGCGCCATGGCTGCATCCGCAGGGTGGCACGAGTCACACCTTTGAGAATGCAACAAAATTCATTATAGGGCCTCACCTGTGAAAAAAATGTCATAAGATGTTCTCGCATTTTTACTACATTTGTTGTATTAATATTAAGACAACAAAATAGTAAGCACTAGCCACTAAAGTCAATGTGGAAGGCCAAGCAAAACTCCCTGTGGAGTGCCTTTGATTTACCAACCTATATTTTTTTCATCTGTTTTTGAGATCTGCATATTAAATAGCAGTATTTTGCAGCAAAATTGGACATAAACAAAGGAGTGTTCCAGGTGATTTTCTCCCTAGTTAAAAGTCAAGAAATTCGATGCTCTTATTTATTCAGTTAGGTACAGGCTAGGCAAATATATGAAATAAATTGCAGACCAAATAGGCTTCACGAAAGTAATTATTGATTTATTTCCGTATAATTGACAGAAAAATTAATGTCTTTAAATATTCACGAACTGTATGCCAAACATGCTATTGAAGAACATTGTAACTTGCAAAGCAAAGAGCAATTGAAAGACATGAGAAATAAGGTATTTAGAACAATTAAGAACATATTTGGTCCACATTATATGGGTCTTAGACCATTTTTTAATAACTAGGAACATGGGGACAATCCGCAAATTAGAAGTCCTTCTCACAAGCCACAAAAAACCTCAAGAGGTGCCTAGGTTTAGAAAATACTTAATTAGGAAAGAAGGAGTATAATTAAAAGGCCAGGGTTTGGGGACTTAGGGAGCCGGTGGTCAGTATTTACAAATAGCCGATGATAGTCAGCCACTCCATCAAAATAGACAAAAAAGGTAAACGTCTGCAGTAAATATGAAAGAATGACCACGGATGCTTGAAATAAAACAAAAAACAGCTAGGTCATTGGTCAGGAAACCATCTACTTAAAGATGTAGGGATGTTATCTATTGTAAAGTCGGAAAGCTCAAGAAGAAAAACAGATACTGGTACATTTTTAGTGACAACATTCAACAAATGAAGCAAACTCCGCCTTAAAAAATAAGTAGCTACGATATTTCAACATTAACTGTTAGTTTTTAACTATTAAGGAATGAAGCTGTAAAAACAATAATTTCTTTAAATCGGCACACAGAAATGGAGATGTAGAAAGTGATGAGAAGGCACGACGTACCCCACAATCAACATTAACCGAAAAACAAACTTAGGGACGGGCAATTGCGGCTGAGGCAAAGGTTCACATTGTGGTTGCAGGTTATCAGCTATTCCAGAAATATGGGCCTTTGGGTTGGCCACTACAATTTCATCAAAGTCATTAATTTGCATTAAAAATTACATTGCAATAAAGACGAGGAATTTGGACCAAAATCAGAGAATTTCTTACCGTTGGAGAGGTCCTTGTCCATAATGGGTTAAAATGCAACTTAAAATAGAATCCTACAGATGAACAAAAACATCCACGTTTCATTCGTGTTTAATTGCTTAAAATTATTTTAAAAGAATCGCAAAAAATAAAAAATGGCTCGAAAAAATGTAGACGGATCTCGCTAACCCGCATACAACACACATGTGGGCAGTGAAGTTGTGGTGTGGCGTCGGATTGGGGCGCAGACATATTGGACCACCTGGCCGCAGCCAATCCTGTGTCTCTCTGCAATCCAATGGCATGCGGGAAAGGAAGGCAGTCAACCAGAGAAGGACACGACAGAGGAGCAGTATATAATGAGCGGCGTGGCCAGCGTGGTGGACTCGGATGGAAGGCGCCTGACGCGTGGCTCTGGCTTCTGATGGGTCAATAAAGCCTGTTCTGTTGTACCAGTCTTTACCTATTTGGGCTCGGGTATTCTACACTGGTGGCAGCGGATGCGTTCGAATAACGCAAATCGAACCCCAGCCCTTTTTCTTCAGTGGTCAACACAGGCGAGGACCCTTAAATGCCAGCTGAATTTGTCATGGCGTTCATCCGATGTCCAATAAACTGGATCCATAGACATTGCCCGGGATT